AGCACTGGGAGTGGTGGCTACGGGGTGGGCTATGGCCACCCCAAAATTTGCCGTAGCATCTCCTCCTTGCCTGTGCCGCAGCTGCCTGCCCTGCCCCAGCTTGCTTGGGGCCTAGCCCCCCCTGCCGGGAAGAGACCAGCACAGCCTCTGGCCCTACCCACAAATCTAGCAGCTCACATGCCTCTTCCAGGGGTGCGCGCAGTGGTGGGGAGCCACCACCCCTTTGCACCCCCTGAGCGAGCCACCTGCAGCTTTGTTGTGCTCCCAATGGGGTTGCATTCACTGCCCTGGCTGGGCAGCGCCCTCCCCTGCTCCACTCCCTCCCTCACCATGGGGAGGCCTCAATCTGCCCCCCCCCCACGACTTAACAGCAGGACACTGCTCTCCAAGCTGCGAGGCTGCATTATTGGTCATGTGCATGCCCTGTGGCTGCTCACATGTGTGCAGCATTTACCAGTAACATTACTGGCCAAAAAAAGGTGATTGCCAATAATGTTAATTTTCCTGTTATGCTGACCCAATATGCAACCGATTATATTGGTGCACCTCTACTTGTTACCTCCTGCTTATCTTGCTTCACTGGTGCCCTGGCTGCCTCCTCTGTGGGCAGCATCTCTGTAGCCCTGGCTCCCTGAACTCTGCCTTGGAGGCATAGTTCTCACTTTGAGAAACACATATACACAAAGTAGGTGTTTTTTATGCAAAACGTTAGTCCCAGTTCTCAGCTCTGGCAGAGGGGACCTAGCTCCTCAGTTCTTACACAGTCTCTGTACCCCAGGATTGCAGAGGGATAAATCAGAGCAGACCCAAGAGCTATTGTAATGTATGCTACAGTGCAACAGCTGGCCGTGATACAGTATGGCAGACTAGATGAGCCATTGTGTTGTAGGTTCTGGCCCTTTGCCCTTCCTTCCCTAATGTGCTCTTTTCCTCCCCTGTGCAGGGGCTTGTTTCTAAGGATCACGCAGAGCTGTAGCATGGGGGTCTGCCACTGAGGACAGCAGGTCCTGGGTGGTTAAGGGCAGAACCTGGAGTCTTTGCATTCAGTACACAAACAAAAGGGACCAAACAAATTTACAGAAGCAATAAACCGTGTTTCCTACATGATTATTTCAGATAAAGGACCCTTTTTGTTGTGTTCCACCCTCCCAAGCCTTGACTTCATGGTGAGCTTTCTTACTGCTGGATGGGATGGAGCTGACTTCACTCTGCGCTCTATCAATGGACCCAGCCTTTGACATACTTTTCCCTGTCTTTTTCTTCTCCCTCCCTTGGGCAACCAAGCTAGCCCAGTTGCAAGCAATATAATGGTTAATTTTGACAGCAGGAAAGCATCATTGGATAAGCCAGCAGATGCTGTACTTTAAATTTGTTTTGCTATAAGCTGTATCTCTAAGCCTTGAGGGGAAGTCTAGGGTAGTAATTGCTTTACGGTTTACCTGTGGATATCGCCCTAGTTAGAGGAAATGGCCGTGCACTCATTCAGGCAACGTGTGATAGCTGAGTCTTGTGGTAAATATGTAACTTCTTTCTGCTGCCTTCTCTTCCTGTAAGGAGTATTTTTATATTGGATACTTTGTTACAATGTAAAACTAGTAAATACAATAGATAAAGCAAACAAAATACATACTTGACTAGTTATGTTTTTATTAGTCGGGATGATCAACATTTTTTTAATAACCCAATACATACTGAGATTGAATTCTGTATTAGGAATGGAAGGCTGAAATATTACTCATTTCTTTTCAGGTTTTGATAAGTATGGTTTGAACAATGACAAATTTAATCTTTCTTGACCTGTATAAACCCTCCAAAATATATCTTATGGGCTTTTGGATCATCCATTTGGAATGAATAAGGGTGGATTGAAGTTTGGGGACAGAGCAGGTTATGTCCTCCCCGGCCTTTTTGGTTGGAAGCATATTAACTGGGAAAACAAGTTACCAAGGCATGAGAGAGAGTCCTTATTGCTCAAAGTCTTTAAATCAAGTTTAGATGTCTTTTGAAGAGATATGGTAGTGGAATCAGCCAAAAGCTTGATGCAATAATGTGAAATTTGGGGGGTGGGGAAAGCAGCAGGTTAGACTAAATGTTCATAGTAGTCCCTTCTGGACTCAAAATCTTTGTATCTGGGTTCCAAGCACAAACCAGGTTTTATCCACAAATATCTATGCAGTATGCCAAAATGAGGTGGCTATCCTGGTAGATTGCACATATTGTCCTAATGTGATTTTCAGTTTTTTGTCTTTTATCCATGATAACTACATAGTCATCTGTTAGGGTTATCATTATTTAAAATAGTCAAGTCTATACCATATTTTGCGTATGGACCAAGGTATCTACTCGGCTGTACAGGGTAGATTTCCTGGCCTGTAAGAATTTCACGATGAAATATTTGGATTTATCCATAAGGATTCTGTCTAGTCAGGCATTCAGTATAGCAAAAGTACAGGAACATCTGACATGCAAACCATGTTAGTCCTAGAGTTATCGTAACTAGTATTCCTTAAACTGCAGTTAGTCACACATCTGTCACTCCTGTAAGGAATGTTTCTGTTTCTTAATACAAATGATTTATCGCTTCGGTTTTAAAGAACAAACATCATTGATGCCTCTGAGAAACTGATAAATAGACTGGTAGCACTCTATTCAGGTGATACATTTTTATATGTTTTCTCTTGTTTTCATTTTTTTTTAAACTAAGTCTATTTCCATGGCTGTTGTGCTGAAGAGTTCCCATGTTCCTCGCCTTGAAGTCACAATCTCTCTCCTTTTATAGGACATCATAGCAGCTAACAGTGATGTCCCAGAGAACAGCTCCTATAACTTCACGTGATGGATATCACAGTATGGATCCTGTTTGAATCCAGATTCCCTTAACAAGGCCCTGTGTTTCTTGTTCCTTTCAGCACAGGAGGCCAAATTATTCATCAAAGGCCAAAATGGTGTGCCTGGGGCTCAGAAACATGCTTCCTTGCCCCAGTCCTCACCACTGCTTTTTATCTCGCTGCCCTCAGTTCCAGTTGGTTCAGTATATTCCAAAATATTTTATGTTGATTACAAATTTTTTCATTAAGCTGGAGGATTTTGGATTTTGATGATGAAGTACCCTTCAGAATTGCCGGGAGAACGTGTGTGGGGCTTTTTGTAGTAGAGGAGTGAAAAGATGCTTAAGTACCTAGGGGGGAAGCTGTAGGAAAGGATGCATCATCTCACCCTCTTTTGGGCAGATGCAGAGTGATTGTCTGGAGGTGGGAGGAGCACTGAATTTTGTTCCTCTGCCCAGCAAAATCTTGTCGCTGATATACAACCTGTTCTGTTATGCAGCCCTACGGCCACCAATGGCTAATAAATATATGTCTGTTTTTTCTGCTGAAATACTCAGCAGTGAAATAGTTAATGCTGTGATTGAGTATTGCACCACATTGTCATGTGAGGCAGTACATATCTCTCTGAGTTAGTTTCAGGCCAGCTGTAGATTCAGGCAGGCATCATTGCTGTTGTAGTTTGTTCAGTTGACAAACTGAAGGTTTTCCTCCCAGCTATAATAAAAAGAAAATTAAAGCCTTGCAGATCTCATGACTGTCCATTCTTAAGTCCCTTTTATGCATTAAGAATGGTAAATGACCTTGGTATAAATGATAATTCAGCCCTAAAGTTGTGGGGAAGGAAAGGTTAGGTTCTGGAACACAGTTGCATAGGAGTTTAAAAATGATCTACAATTACACAGCACCCTGTAAAACCATATAATCCCATTATACCTTAAACCCTGGCCTTCCATAATAAGAAGTAGAAAACATACAAAAAGTGCCTGTGTGTGTGTGTGTGTACATGCACACACATGTGTAGAGAACCAAGAGTGCCTTTAGTTAGAATGTTTTCAGTATGATATTAAGTCATAACTTGATGCTTTGTGTGTGCCAAAACAGTGCAAAAGACACATGCATATGTTTTAAGAAAAACAAACCATTCCTGCTCTGGCCCCTTAAATGTACATTATCTAATGCCCATTCTCCTTTCTCTTCCCTGATAGCGATAACCTGCTAAGGAGAGCTGCATGCCAAGAAGCCCAGGTAATACCATTTAATGTGATAAAATTAGATTAAAATCCCCTTCTTATCTCAGTTGTGCAGGACTCCTGAGATTCTCCCAGCAGGTCTCTTCTACGTGACAAGCCTGACAACGATACCATCTGTGTTCTTTTCCAGAGACTCCAAAGGATGAACAAGGCCCCCTACTTTCAGTTGGGGGTCCGGCCCCTTGCTGTAGCTTGGATTCAGTTTGTGAACAGTGAAATAACCCTTGTGATGTATCTCCTTGGCGTTGGTCAGTTTTGCACAGCCTTCCAGTTGTGGAAGTTTCATTATTCCATCTTTCCCCAATTCTGGTGAGGTGAAAAGGTAGGGAACAACAGGCAAAGAGATTGAAATCTCACCTTTGCTGTGGAGCAGGTACATCATGAGGGAAGCAGCACAAGCTTCTTTACGTTGATTTTGAACTAGAGAGACCATCTTTGGGGTTCATAAGCTAGTCAGTGTCCTTGCCTGTTCAGTCCAGTGTAACTCTACTGAAGATGGCAAATGTAGCATCTGAGTTTGTGTGAGGAACTGAATGTAGGGCATCCACTCTTAGGTCAGCAAAGGTAAAATCAGTTCTCGTGTCCATTTACCCTTTGGGGATTGTGGACTCGCTGCTTTCTTTCCCCATGTACTTACGTTATCCAGAGTCTGTGCAGCCAGGTCACTCTTGTGTTCTTTTTTGTGGAAATCCTGCACTTAACAAGCGCACTTTGATTGACATGTGTGCAGTCCCTGGGCAGCAGCACTCATTTCAGGAGTCTCACTACCTCTTTCCCGCTTGTGATTTAAATCTTGTTCTACATGTGTTCATCATTGCCAGCACCTTGAGAAAGGGATTTCGTCAGCTTTTGTATGAGTACCCATGAGTGTTGTTTCTGAGTACCGAGAAGGAAGGGTGACAATTATTTTTTTTCATCAGACCTTCACCTTCTCAAGGTGAGTATTCCTGTCACTATGTTTCACAACAGTGATGCACCTGGCGGAATCCAAATTTAGACTGTCAGGTGCTGAGGAGAAGATATTCAGAGCAACATGACCCAGCCTATGGAAATTTTTGCCCGAATAGATTACAAGAAGCTCAAACTTTGTAGGAGCAGAAGAAAAAAAAATCCCCGTAATCACCACTCATAATAAATAGCAGAAACTGTACCCTTTATCATGCAGCACTGATAGAGAACATAATTTGCTCCAGACTTCTATACTTTTTTTGTTGTCTTGTTCGGTGCTTGAATGTTCGAGTGATCAGTGTCTTAAATACACCTTCAGCAAAAAACTGTTAATACTTTAGAATCTGAAAGAAGCTGCCAGATTGCAGGGAATTCAAGGAAGAGCAAAGAAGAATGGATTTTCAGGGAAAGATAAAGAAGAACTAACTGTGCATCAGAAGTTTGCAACAGGCAAAGGAGAGAGTGTTTTAAGTGGTGCAAAGGGATAAAAAAGGAATGGAACGAAATTAAGAATAAGCAGATTTAGTGTAGCTGTCACAAAGACGGGATCTGGTAGGTTATGGATGATTCTTGTAAACGAAAACATGGAAGCATCATCACCTGAGACTTTTACAAAGGGCAGTGGAGGAAAGATTGGAGAATGTCTTTCAGGGAGCTGTCTTCTGTTGGATAGACTAGGTAGCATCCTAGATCCTTCTAAAATTAGTTTCAGTAGCTATAGTGCCAAGTTGCATTTAAAAACTCAAACTGAAGTATCAGTAAAAGCTGGTAGGATTTGGTCTGTAGCTTCTGACCTTGCTGGGATAGGAGCAATGTTTAATTCTTGCAAAATTATGTTTGCATTTATGGTGCTATATGCACACGCTGAGAAAAATGCTGACAAAAAACCCCTCACCAGTCAGGATACTAAAAGAGAGGCTAATTTTTAAAATGTCAGTTCTTCATTGAGTTCTTAAGCATGTTCCAAGTCCTTTACATGTACTTTTCAGGCAAAAGCAATCTTTATCCTAAAAAGACTAGTCCATCTCCATTTCAGGTAAACATGTCAGCAGGTTATGGCAGTTGAGATGTTCATTCACAGTGAAAACTTGAAGCATTATCTCCTTACTAACAATTCTCACTAAGGACCCACTATATTAGTTTAACACTTCCTGCAGCCCCTTCTCATGAATAAGCTGACTGCAGTTTACCTCCATGCACTTAGCAAGTGTGGTCTGAGTGACTGCTCCTGTTTGGAATTTTACCATTCCTCACCTCTGAGGTTGTATTAAGGAGTTTGTGGGGGGTTTTTTGTTTGGTCATGGAAACCTAGCATCCTAGAAAGGGACCTTAGTAGTTCAACCCTCTGGTCAAGATGGGATCATCCCTATCCAAAGCATCCATTCATCAGGCTGCTGAGCACTGTCCTCTCTCATATCCACCTGCTCAGGGCTGGTGAGCGCTGCTTGTGATCTCCCAGTGATCCATTCATAGGGAGCTGTTGGACTTCAACTGCTGCTGTTTATAGCATATTCCAGACGTAGCCACTCCTGGATCATCCCTAAGCAATGCTTATCCAGCCTACTCTTGAAAACCTCCAATGATGCAAATTTCTTAACTTTCCTAGGTGGTCTGTTCCACTGGCTGACTTATAACAGTGAAGAAGCTTTCCTGGTATCCAGTCTTAACTGCTTTGCTGTAATTTCAAGCCATTGCTACCTGTCCTAGTCTGCAGCAACAGAGGAAAGATCTTCCCCCTCTTCATGGCAGACCTCCAGATCTTTAAAGATCTCTATCATGCCCCTCTTAATTGCTCTTTCCACAAGTTGGACATGCCTATTTATTTCAACCTCTTTCCTTCCAAGCTCTTTATCATTTTTGTTCCACACCTCTGGAGCTTCTCTAGCCAACTTCTCTACAGCCTGCACCTTGAAGTGGTACGTGGGAGTAATCAGTGTTTGTGAAGTATGTTGAGATCTTGGGATGAAAATGAATAGGTATGTGTAAAGTATTAGAAGTGGTTTTTGGGTGCTGCGGTCACTGGGGGGGGAACACAGTATCTGGAGTTCTGCTGCCAGCAGACAAATGAAAAAGGCATTGACCTTCCTACGTTTTTGTCTTCAAATGTATTTTTCATGGAGATAAACTCCTAAGCAACTTATAAAAACTTCCCTAGTTTTTTTTTAAATTTCCCATCTTTGAGCTGGAGTTTGTGACACAAATATATCCCAAGTATGTCAGAAAAGAAGTGATTGTGTAGGAGTAAGAGGCTGTTTGTTTAGAGCAAGTAAATATATTGCATTTCCCCTCAGCCCCTAGTGAACAATCAGTTGTTTCTAACAGCTGTAATGTACCAGAGGATTATTGATGAGGGCCCTCATTTCCCATGATTTCCCTAAAGAAAAAATTGTAATACAATTAATCAGGGTTTTTTTTTTCTCCAGCTGTTTTCCAACAAAGCTTAAGAGCCACTGGTTTGATTTCCACCCCCCCCCCC